TTCTGCCTCAGGGAGTCCGATTATTCTTAGGTTAGGCCTCTTGAGGTAGTCACTCATCTCTTGAAGGTTTTGTTCTGTCTTTTTGAGCTTATTTTCTGTGTTTTTAAGAGTTTGGGTTATTTCTATATTTTGGTCCTCAAGCTCTGAGATTCTTTCTTCTGCTTGGGTAATTCTGCTTTCCATGCTTATCAATTTGTTATTTATTTCATTCACAGTATTCTTTATTACTGTTATCTCAGATATCAGCTCCTTCCTAGTTTCTTCTTGTGTCTCCTCAATTCTTTTTAATCTCTCCATTATTGTTTTGATATCTACATTTGCATTTTGAGACCCTTCATTCTGGGGACTTTTCATTGTTTGCATTCCAAAGTCAGTTTTCTCAGTGTCTGCTCTCCCAGGCGTCTGGGAGAGACCCATACTCTTCTTTTGTTTTTTCTTCATTTCTGTAGATTTTTCTCCCTCTCCCCCTTTCCCTCCCCCTCTTCTATTCTGTTTTTGAGGAAAGGTGGGGTTGCTTTTATTTCTCTTCTGCAATGACCTGTTCTTCCTTATGAGGGTCTTCTGGCTTTGTTCACTTTTCCCTCTGCCTTACAGTCTGTCTATTCAGCAGTATGCAGTCTTGGTTCATTCAGAGAATCTCACCAGTTCACCTATGCCATCGCCATCTTGCCCCTTCTCCAAGAATTCTTAAAATCACCAAAATTCTAGGACCAAAAACTCACTCCTTACATTATGTCTTCATCAGAACCTTCAAATATAATGTGCTGTGTAGAAAGAGACAGTAAAGCAAATAGTGTGTTCTTTTTTAAACCATAGGGATAGCTAGATTCAAAATATGGAATAAATTAGACTGTATAGAAAGATTCTCATTAAAATTGTTTTAATCACATTGAAAAGAGAATCCTCAGTGCATACAAAAATTATTCAATCTAATCGTGTGTAGATATGGAATGCTTATCTTTAAGCCACAAAGGAAAGAACAGTGAGGTCTACCTTGAGAACTGCTTTTGAGCATATGAAGTATGACAATTAAGTTTGTAAACTCATCCTAGAAAAAGTGCTGCATACCTCATTGCTGAATATCAGCACAGTCACCTTCAAAATACCCTCCTTATGAAGCTATGCACCCATGCCAGCACCTAGTTCACCCGTCAAAGTTATTTTGGAACTCTTTTTCTGGAATGGCCATCAGAGCTGTCATTGTATTACCCTTGATGTCCTGAATGTCTTCAAAATGTCTTCCTTTCAATATTTCCTTTATCTTCAGTTAAAGAAAAAAGTCACTGTGGACAGGTCAGGTGAATAGGGTAGGTGTTCCAACACAGTTATTTGTTTACTGGCTAAAAACTCCCTCAAAGACAGTGCTGTGTGAGCCGGTGCATTGTCATGATGCAAGAGGACCATTTTTGCACACCTTTCTCATGCCACGATTTTCAGTTAAGATTTTCCTGTTTCTCTGCCAATGTTTATTTGGTCTGTTATGCTTCTCACAGTCAGCCAATGATTTTGATGTACAATAAAACAAATTTTTGCAAAGTTTTAGTCAGTTCTGCTCCTTTCTGCTCATTCTGACCTCTCTTCATCAGTGGTGCTTTCTCTCCCCCCTCTGAAAAATGTTTAATCTATTTGTTCACTGCCCTTTTCTTCATGGCATTATCCCTATATACTTGGATTAACATGTCCCTGATTTCACTTCTACTCTTGCCAAGTTTAACAAGAACTTTAATGCTTGTTTGTTACTCTAAATCAAACTGATATTCTTATGACAATGGCTCTGATGACCATTCCAGAAAAAGAATTTCAAAATTGCTTTGATTGATGGACTAGGCATCGATGAATAGCATCCCAAGGAGAATGCTTCGAAGGTGACTATAGTGATATTCAACAATGAGGTATGTAGCACATTTTCTAGAAAGGGTTCATGAACTTAATTTTTAGACCTCATGGTCTATTTTCTTGAGGAAGTTTCCCTTCAGAAGACAGCATTTATACCCAGAAAATACTCACTACAAGCTGGATTCAACTAGATATAGCATGAATAACTTGAAAGCGATATGTACAGAAAAAATGTGATAATATGCTTTGAGGAAGTTATTAAAACACTAAAATTCAAACAACTGGCCTTTCAACATTTCTTCCAAAATCTTGTGATGATGACAGGAGAGGAATAATGATTGAAGTTGTGCTATAGACAGGAATTTGGTTAAGAATTGGGAAACCACAAGATAGGCTAAGTATACAAAACTACTACTCATGATGTCTTGTTAGAGCAGAGCCCTGCAACATTGTATCTCATCAAGACAATAAGAGTAGTCTATAAGTTCTTCACTTTCTAGACTTTCATCAGTTTCCATTTAGAGTATTCCTGAATTATGTTTTCCAATAAAATGAATAATTGTAGATCAAGTACCAGTTAAGCACAAAGCCCTGAGCTAATAACATTATTGTAGCAGCACTCAGCATCTTGGAAACAACTTTTGTTTGACAAAGGAGAATGAGGTTACCAAAGCAGTCTCCAGCTTATATTTAGGACTCAAAGCTTCAGCTTTTTTATGTTTCTGGGTCTAAAGCACAGAATCCAGAAAGCCCTAAAAATTTAATTAGATCTTTCCTTAATGTGCATTAGCAGATTGTGTCTATTTATACATTGCAACCACAGCTACATTGTTATAGAAAATGATATTACACCAAACCTTTTCTTATGCTTTCTATTATAACTCTATTTCTCAATAATATTGACAGCAATGATAGAAATACTATGAAAAGTGATAACATTTTTACTTTTCCTTGGAAGATTCCTTACACTCTGCCTTTTTAATCTGGGAATGGAGCTAGTCAGGTAAAGAGATAAGTGGGAAATGTAGAAGAAAAAAGAGCTTAAATTGATTTGGGGAATTCAAACAACAAGGGATTTTTTTATGTTCTGCAGAGCCAGTCTTGACAACTTCCTCTCCCGACTCCTCTTCCTGACTCTTACTTCTGTTAACAAGATTCTACTGCCACTTTTTCTAGATGAGTTGAAATTTCCCATTAGAGATGGATTACCTTAGAAGTATGTGAAACAGTGGGACAAATCACATAAATCATGCCCTGTAGGAGCAAATTGAAGTAATGTTTGGACAACAAACAAGGACTGAGTTGGGATGGGAGCTTGAAAATCAAGAAACCAAGAGTATCACAGAATAAAAAAGGAAAAAGCAGATGGCAATCTGACTAAATTCTAAAAAGATAAAGCATAGATGCTTTTTTGGTGTCTTTATTCATTTCCAGCATGCTCTGATAATTTTTTTTTTAGACTAAGTCTCACTTTGTCATCCAGACTGGACTACCATGACTCAATCATAGCTCACTGCAGCCATCTGAGGGTTTTTAAAACAAAGAGTAAAAGGCTGCTGCCTTTCCTTGCCCCTCATCACTCTCTGAGTTCAGGATCTTATTATCGCTCACCTAAATTTTTTAAAATTGTAGCTATGATATCATTATCATACCTTAAAGTTAACAATCATCTCTTGATATCATGCAATAGCCAGTCAATATTCAGATTTCTTTTTTTGAGTCAAGGTCTCACTCTATTGCCCAGACTGGAGAGCTGTGACATGATCACAGCTCACCACAGCCTCCAACTACTGGGCTCAAGACATCCTCCCACTTCAGCCTCCCTAGTAGCTGGGACTACAGGCACACACCACCATATCCAGCTAATTTTTTTTTTTTTTGTAGAGACGCGGTCTCGCTATGTTACCCAGGCTTGTCTTGAACTACTGAGCTCAAGCAATTTTCCCACTGGGATTACAGGTGTGTGCCACAGTGCCTGGCCCCAATATTCACATTTCTTTAAATGTCTAATAAATGTCTTGCTAAGATTTTATTCACGTTCTTTCTGGTATCTTTGAATCTAGACTTACTCCTCTTTCAATCTACATTCAGAAGCTAGTTAAATCTCACAGAAAAAGCTCTGTCCTTGTCACTCCCTTCCTCCAAATAATTATCTTCCATCACCTAGTTTTTCATTGAACTCTACCTTCCCTCATCTTCTAAATATACAAAACTAAATATGGTTGTAATTTATATAAAGGATGCATTATTGAACATTTCTTGTGATTTTAAATTCCCATAGCTCAAATATAATACTTATAAAGAATGGAGGCTTGTTTTGTTTAATGGCTAAAGTGGCACTGCCATCTCCAAGGCCAACTTCAAGATCTAGAGTGTTACTTGGCAGTGGCATACACAGTTCACAATATTCTTGACCTTTGAATTCATGGAATTCTTAGAAAGTTTTTAGGGGCTTTACATTATTTTATATACTATATATGATGTGATTATTTATTAATATTTTTAAAAATATTTCATGATTTAAAAGTTGCACAGTTCAATTTTGCATAGAATACAACTAATTGTACTGTATCATTAGTTTATAAGTATATTGTCAGTTGTTATATCTCTGCAGACAGGAGTATCTTTCTTACCTCTTATCTGTCTAGAGAACTATTAATTCTCTAAGACTCCTCTAAAATATCACTTCCTCCTTGAAGCTTTCCTTGTCCAGAAAGAATTCCCTTTTCTCTTTCTAAAACACTTTGCTTATAGTCTATCACATCACTTATTATGGTATAGCTTATAAACTCTTCATATTATTCTATTATTATAGTTAATATGTTTGCATGCACTTCTTGGCAGTATCTTATTCATGTGTGATGCCACTGGGTTCATAGTGGATACTCATAAAGTGTTGACTTTAATTAATATTGCAGATTTATTGTAATTATTAAATAAAATATTTTTAAATGATTACCTGACACAGTACCTGGTACTTACTGGTACTCAGTAAAGTTTCCTTTTTTTCCCCTCTAGTTTACTCCTGCTTCATTTCTTCCAACACCATATATTCTTTCCATGAAAAGAGAATATAAATTTCTTTATTTTATTGATCTGATGTCTTTTCAGGATACTAATACGGTTCTGTATCTCACAGTTGCTTATTTATTAATTTTAGGTCACTGACTTTGTTCAGATCAGAGCTACTCCTGAGACAGCAGACAGAAGTAATATGACATCTTCACCGCTCTTGGATGCCAACTCCATGGAGAACCCAGCACTGTTAAATGACATCAAGATTGAGCCCCCAGAAGAACTTCTGGCTAATGATTTCAGCCTACCCCAGGTGGAACCAGTTGACCTCTCCTTTCACAAGCCCAAGGCTCCCCTCCAGCCTGCTAGCATGCTACAAACTGCAATACGTACTCCTAAGCCACAGTCTGCTCCCCAAACCCTTGTGGTGTCCACTTCAACATCTGACACGAACACTTCAACAAACATCCCTACTGTTCTAACTCCAGGCTCTATCCTAACCTCCTCTCAGGGCACTGGTGGCCAGCAGATCTTACATGTGATTCACACCATCCCCTCAGTCAGTCTGCCAAATAAGATGGGTGGCCTGAAGACCATCCCAGTGGTGGTGCAGTCTCTGCCCATGATGTATACTACTTTGCCTGCAGATGGGGGCCCTGCAGCCATTACAGTCCCACTCATTGGAGGAGATGGCAAAAATGCTGGATCAGGTGAGCATCAATATTGCCTATTTCCTGGACTTCGTCCATCTATTCCCTTTTTGGGTCATCCAATCTCCAGTCTCTTTTCACCTCCTCCAATTATTATTGCACACTGCTTTAAGAGTAATCTTTCATAAACACTGTTTTTATCTCTTTAATGCTTAAAAATGTGCAATTACTCTATTGATTAAACTATGCTTCTCAAATGGGCACACATATTCATCAGTGAAATATTACATATTTTCTTGGAATTTTTACGTTACGTGATAGTAAATAATTTAAGGCATGTTATATTTAAAATATGATTATGTTGTAGAGAAAATGCAAATTTAAATAATCTTTTAAGATAAACACAAACTTCAAAAATAGTTTAAGTTTACTAAAGACATCCACCCTAGGACTTTCCAGAATAATGTATTTATTCTTCTATGCCATTAGGAATGCTTTGGTAAAAGAGTCGAGAACAATATTTTTATTCTCTATCATATATAGCCAATCTTAGTTCTTGCCTCTTCCAACTCGTTCCCTCTTATTTTCCCTACAAAAAATGTCTTTGAAATACTACCATCTTCCCTGTGTCCTCCCTCATTTGGTACCTATCATCCTCCATTTTACCTTTTTACTTGGCAGTATCACAAATGTATGAGCATTAGCCCCAATTCAATTGTAAATTTCTCAAAAATAATACTTTATCTTATTTTTTAAATGCCTCTCCAGAGAACCTAATACAATGCTAGATAGAAGTTGTCTTGCAGCAAATAATTTGGTGAACAAATGAACATGGAAATTTGTCTAAGAATTCAAATACTGTGAACTTCCCTTTAATTTAATTATAAAAATAAGTTCAGAATTTAGGAAGATATAAACTAAGTCTCTCTTTTACCACTGTGCCCCAGTCATTTGGTTTCCCTCTTAGAGAAGTATCTACTTTAGTTTGTAATCAGGAATAATCAAAGAAAATTATATGGCATCTGAAGTGCTGCAAGGTATTTAGCTTCATCATATCTGTAATATTACAATCAATATTGGGTATTGTGCCTTAGGAAAGACATTGAGAAACTGGAGCATAATCAGAAGAGAGACCAGGATGGTCAGAGTGTTCAAACTTGTGTTAAATGAGGAGATGATGTTTAGCATGAATTGAAAAAGTTAAGGAAAGATGTGGGTGGAAATGACTGAAAACTAGATTTCAGCTCAGTAAAAAATGCAATCTTCAAAGAATCTCTGTCCTTAGAATTTGATGCTCTCCATAAATGTAGAGTTCTGAAAAACAACATACTAAGCATCAAGTTGCTAAGACTGCAGTGATCAAAACATCATTGACTATTGGTTAATTGTGGTAATGGTAAGTTTTCATGATGATTATGTTTTTGAGATATGATATCAATTCCCATATAGGAAAGGAGAGCCAAGCCAAACAAGGAAACAAACAAAAAAGGAAATACAATTTCCTGTGGGAGAGTTCACCAAGATCAAGGCAGTGGTAGCATGAAGGGATGGCCTAAAAGAGTTTCCAGTACCTCACCACCATAATATCCATCAGTCCACCAGAACCACTGTAAATAAGCAGAGCAAATTTTAAGAGTCTTCAATGTAGTCCCAAGCTAAGGGCATTAGCCCAGTGGTCACCAAAATGGGGTACTTACTAAGCCTTATGGGGAGCACATAAAACAATTGAAGTGCAAAAAGAAAGTATCAAAATGAATATTTTCTTACTCTTTTAAAAATATTGACAGATAACATTGTATATTTATATCATGTACAACATGAGACTTTGAAGTGTATATACATTGTGTAAAGGATAGATCCAGCTAGTTAACAAATGCATTAGCTCATATAATTATCATTTGTGTGGTGACAGTACTTAATATCCACTCTTTTTACATTTTTCATAAATATAATGTATCATCATTAACTATAGTCACCTTGCTATACAACAGATTTCTTGAAATTGATTCCTTTTATCTAACTGTAATTATATACCCTTTGATCAACATCCCCCTATACACCCTGTCTCCCAACCACCTCAATCTCTGGTAACAACCATCTTACCCTCTGCTTGTATGAGATAAATTTTTTGAGATCCCAAATAAGAGTAAGATCAATGCAATATTTACCTTTCTGTGCCTGGCTTATTTTGCTTAGCATAATGTCCTCCAGGTTTACCTATGTTATCACAAATGACAAGATTGTGTGGGGGGTTTATGGCTAAATAGTATTTCACTGTGTATATATGGCATATTTTCTTTATCCATTTATTCATTGATGGACACATCGTTTTTAAATTAAATTTTATTTTATTATAGAGATGTGAGGTACAAGTAAGCATTAACTATATAAGTAGGTTTCTAACTGGCCCTCTCTTACTCTGGTAGTGGACCAGGTACCTTTTGTGTTGTCATGTGCCCCCAGTTTTTCTCCCTCCTTCTCTCCCCTAGCAGTGTCCAGTGACTGCCAATCCCCCACTTGTGCTAGTGTGACTAATGTTAAGGGCCCACTGAGAACATGCGGTATTTGGTTCTTTGTTTCTGTGATAGATAGACAACTTGGTATGATGGCCTCCAGCTCCATCCAATTTACTGTGAAGTCCACAATTTTGTTCTTATTCGTGGCTATATAGTATTCTATTGTGTATATGTACCACATTTTGTTTATCCAGTCCACTTTTGTTGGGCAGTAGAAGTGCTGGATCACATGGAAGATCAACTTCTAGTTCTTTTAGAAGTCACCACACTGCTTTCCATAAAGTCTGAACTAGTTTGCACCTCCACCAATAGTGTAGAAGCAATCCCTGTTCTCCACACCTGCACCAGCATCTGCTGTTTTTTGACTTATTAATTATAGCTATCCTGGCGGGGTTAGGTGGTATCTCACTGTAGTTTTGATTTGTGTTTTTCTGATGATTAGTGAGGCTGAGCATTTTTTCATGTGTCTGCTGGCTGCTTGTATGTTGTCTTTTTAAATTTCTTTTTTATTTTAAAAATATGGAGTACAAGTCAGAATTGGATACATAAGTGGTCTACATACAGGTGAAGTTTGGGCCTCACATTGGAATTCACTTCACCTGAATTGGGATCCTGCACCTTTATTGATGTTGTGTCCCCCGCCCCCACTCCCCTGGCAGTGTCCTGCTACTGCCAATCCCTTTCATGTAGTATTATGATAGGTATTCAGGGTCCACTTATGAGTGAGAACATATGGAACTTAGTAATTTGTTTCTGTGGTAGATCACTGAGTATGATAGACTCGAAACCCCTGGCAGTGTCCCTCTACTGCCAATTCCTTTCATGTAGTATTATGATAAGTGTTCAGGGTCCACTTACGAGTGAGAACATGTGGTACTCAGTAATTTGTTTCTGTGATAGATCACTAAGTATGATAGACTCTAAATCCATCCTAGTTGTTGCGAAGTCCATAATTTTGTCCTTTATGGCTGCATGATATTCCATTGTGTACATGTACAACAATTTTTTATGCAGTCTACTTTCCATGGGCAGCATAGTTGGTTCCAAGTTTTTGTTATTGTGAATAGTGCTGCAGTAAACATACATGCACAGGCATCTTTTTTGTAGAATGATTTGAGTTCCTCCAGGTATATTTCCAGTAGGGGGATTGCTGGGTCATATGGAAGGTCAATTTCTAGCTCTTTTAGATATCACCACAATGTTTTCCAAAGAGGTTAAACTAGTTTGCACTCCCACCAACTGTGTAGAAGTGTTCCTTTTTCTCTACGTCCTTGCCAGCATCTGTTATTTTTTGTTTTATTAATAATGGCCGTTCTTACTGGAGTTAGGTGGTGTCTCAATGTGGTTTTGATTTGCATTTTTCTGATGATTGGTGAGGCTGGACATTTTTTCATGTGTCTGTTGGCTGTTCATATGTCTTCTTTTGAGGCATATGAACATTCTTTAATGTCTTTTTCCCACTTTTTAATGGGGCTTTTTTTCTTCCTTTTGGCACACTTGAGTTCCTTGTAGATTCGGGATGTTAGGCCTATGTCAGATATACAGTTGGCAAATGTTTTTCCCATTCTATGGACTGTTTCCCCGCTTTCTTAAAGGTTTCTTTTGCTTTGCAGAGCTTTTCAGTTTGAGGAGGTCCCAGTTGTCTATCTAATCTCTTATGGCATGGGTTTTTGGAGTTTTGATCAGGAATTTGTTGCCTATTCCAATTTCTGTATGGGTGTCTCCTGCATTTTCTAAGATTCTTATAATTTGACGATTCTAGTTTAGGTCTTTGATCCATTTAGAGTTGATTTTTGGTGTATGGTATGGTGATAGGTAGGGATCCTGTTTCATTCTTCTGCATGTAGTCAGCCAGTTTTCCCAGCAACATTTACTGAATAGGTTCTCTTCTCAGTGGTTGTTGATGGAGGTTTTGTCAAAGATGAGTTGGTTGAGAAATTGAGGTTTTTGCTTCTGGAATCTCCATACCGTTCCATCGGTCTATATGCATGTTTTTGTACCAATACCAGGCTGTTTTGATTGTTGTAGCCTTACAGTAAAGTTTGAAGTGTGGAAGTGTGATACCTCCTGCTTTGTTTCTTTTGCTGAGGATTGTTTTGGCTATTTGTGGTTGTTTATGTTTCCATATGAATTTCTGTATTGTCATTTTCAGGTCTGAGTAAAATGATGATGGTAATTTAATGGGTATTGCATTGAATCTGTAGATTGCCTTGGGTAGGATGGACATTTTCACAATGTTGTTTCTTCCAATCCATGAGCATGGAATAGTTTTAAATTTGTTTGTGACGTCTTTGATTTCTTTGAGCAGTGTTTGTAGTTTTCATTGTGAATGTCTTTCACTTCTCTGGTTAGGAAGATGCCAAAGTATTTCTTTTTTTTTTTTTTTTTTTTTTGGTTATTGTGATGGGGAATGTACTGTGTACTGGGTATTTGGTTCTCTGCCTTTTTGTTGGTGGTGTATACAAATGCAACCTTCTTTTGCACGTTGATTTTAAACTCTGAGAGTCTTCCAAAGTCCTTTATTAGTTCAGGGAAGTTTTTGACAGATTCCCTTGGGTTTTCTGGGTATAGGAAATTAAACCATCCCTTTTTGAAACGATATGATCCTATATAAGCCTAAAAGGCTGCCCACTTGTCTTGTTCCACTTTTCAAGGGAAATGCTTGCAATTTCTATCCATTTGGCAATATGTTAGCTGTGGGTTTATCATAGATGGCTCTTGTTATTTTGAAGTATGTTCCCTCTATGCCTAGGTATTCAAGGGTTTTTATCAAGAATGGATGCTAGATTTTATTGAAAGCCTTTTCTGCATCTTATGATATAATCATGTGTTTCTTGTTTTTACATTTGTTGATGTATTTAATTACATTTATGATCTTGCAGATGTTGAACTAGTCTTGCATCCTGGGAATGAAACCAACTTGATCATGGTGGATAATTTTTGAGATGGGTTGTTGGATCCAGTTTGCTAGAATCTTATTAAGAATTTTTGCATTTTGTTCATCAGGGATATTGGCCTATAGTTCTCTTTCTTTGTTAGGTCTTTGCCCATTTTAGGTATCAGTGTGATGTTAGCTTCATAAAATGATTGGGGGATAGTTCCATCTTTCTTGATTGCCTGGAATACTTTCAATAGGATTGATATCAGCTCCTTCTTATATATTTTATAGAATTCTGCTGGAAAGTCATCTGGTTCTGGGCTTTTTTTGGTGGGTAGTTTTCTTATGAGAAAGTCGATTTTCCAGGTTGTTATTGGTCTATTTAGAGGTTGTGTGATGGCAGAAAGTCCTCCATTTTGTTTAGGTTTCCGAATTAGTTTCCATACAAGTGTGCATAGTAATCTGTGATGATCTTTCATATTTCGTATTTTCAGAGTCAGTTGTGAGTTGATCTTTTGCATTTCTAAATGTGTTTATTTGGGCTTTTTCTCTCTTTTTCTTGGTCATTCTGGCTAGTGGTCCATCAGTCTTATTTATCCTTTCAAAGAACCTGCTTTATGCTTCACTGATTTTTTTCTATGATATTTTTGTCTTCTATGTCCCGTATTTTGGCTTTTACTTTGGTGATCTGGATTCTTCTGCTGAAGTTAGGGTTTTGGTGGTCTTGCCTTTCCAGCTCCCTTAAGTGATTTCTTTAGGCTGTTGACCCCACGATCTTTCTATTATCTTGGTGTATATTCATACAGTTATAAATTCCTCTCTTAATACTGCTTTCATGGCATCCCAGAGGTTTTGGTAAGATGTGTCTTTGTTTTCATTTGTTTCCAAGAATCTTTTAATTTTGGTTATGATTTCAGTGTTGACCCAGGAGTTATTCAGCATTGTGATGTTTAGTGTCTATGTCTTTTTTGTTTGGGGGGGGATCTTCTTGGTGGCAATGTTTATTTTATTTATTTATTTATTTATTTTGAGTTGGAGTCTCACTCGGTTGCCCAGACTGGAGTGCAGTGGCCGCTCCCAGCCACCGCAGCTTCGCCGACTGGGTCCCGGCGATCCTTCCGCCTCAGCCTTCTGAGTAGCCGGAATTACAGGCATGCGCTACCACGCCCGGCTGATTTTTTGATTTTTTTTATTGTAGAGATGAGGTCTCGCTGCCCAGGCAGGTCTCGAACCCGCGGGTTCAGGTAATCCACTCACCTCAGCCTCCCAAAGGCGAGGGATTACAGGCTGAGCCACCAAGCCCGGCTTTGCAATGTTTATTTTTATTCCACTGTGGTCTGAGAAGGTGCTTGGTAGTATTTCAATCTTATGGAATTTGTTTATGCTTGATTTACAGCTGAGGATGTGGTCAATCTTGGAGTATGTTTCATGTTCCTATTCTTGTACCAGTACCAGGTTGTTTTGGTTACTGTAGCCTTGTATTAAAGTTTAAAGTCTGTAAGTGTGATAACTCTCATTTTATAGCTTTTCCTGAGAACTGTTTTTGCTATTCGTTCTCTTTTTTGTTTCTGCATTAATTTCTGTATTGTCACTTCCAGGTCTGAAAAAAATGATGTTGGTAAATTGATAGGTATTGCACTGAATCTGTAGATTGTCTTGGGTAGGATGGACATGTTGACAATATTGACTCTTCCAATCCATGAACATGGAATGATTTTCCATTTGTTTGGGTCATCCTTGATTTTTTTTTTTTTTTTTTGAGCAGTATTTCATGGTTCTCACTGTGAAGTTCTTTCACATCTCTGGCTAAGTATATGCCAAGGTTTGTGTGTGTGTGTGTGTGTGTGGCTATTGTGAATGGGATTGTGCTTTTTATTTGGTTCTCTGCCTGCTTGTTGCTGGTGTTTAGAAATGCAACTATCTTTTTCCCATTGATTTTTTTTACCCCAAGATTTTACCAAGGTTGATTTTCTGTGCTATGAGACTTTGGACAGACTCCTCAGAGTTTTCAAGGTATATACTCATATCATCCACAAAGAGGGACAACTTTACTTCCTCTCTTCCTATTTGTATACCCTTGATTTTCTTACCTTGCCTTATTGCTCTGGCTAGGACTTCCAGCACTATGTTGAACAGGAGGAGTAAGAGTGGACATCCTTTTCTTGTTCCTCTTCTCAGGAGGAATGCTTCACCTTCTGCCCATTGAGCAAAATGTTGACTGTGAGTTTATCATAGATTGCTTTTAATGTTTTGAGGGATGTTTCTTCTGTGCCTAGGTACTCAAGGGTTTTTATCAAGAAGAGATGCTGGATTTTGTCAGATGCTTTTTCTGCATCTACGGATATAACTATGTGATTCTTGGTTTTACATCTGTTTAATGTGCTTAATTGTATTAGTGGCCTTGTGAATGTTGAACTAGCCCTGCATCTCAAGAATGAAGCCCACCTGGTCATAGTGGATGATCCTTGAGATGTGTTGTTGGATCTGATTTGTTAGAATCTTGTTCAGAATTTTTGCATTTATGTTCATCAAGGAGATTGGCCTGTAATTCTATTTTTCTTTGTTGGGTCTTTGTCAGGTTTGGGTATCAATATGATATTAGCTTCAGAAGATGAATTGGGGAGAGTTTCATCATTCTTGATTGCCTGGAATACTTTCAGTAAGATTGAGATCAGCTCCTCCCTGTATGTCTTAAAGAATTTAGCTGGGAAGTCATGTGGTGCTGGGCTTTTTTTTTTTTTTTTTTTTTGGTGAGATTTCTTATGACTGAGTCAATTTCCTGAATTGTTATTCATTTGTTTAGAGTTTTTAGTTCTTCTTGTTTCAACCTTGGGTTGTTGTGTGATATCAGAAAGTCCTCCATTTTCTTTAGGTTTTCTTGATTATTTGCCTGCAGGTATTCATAGTAATCTCTGATAATCTTTTGAATTTCCTTGAGGTCAGTTGTGACTTCACCTTTTGTATTTCTAATCATGTTATTTAGACTTTCTCTTTCTTATTTTTAGTCTCTCTAGCCATGGACCCATCAATTTTATTTATCCTTTCAAAGAATATCAAGTTACATGCTTAAAAATTCTTAGTGAATGGTATGCTAAGTATAAAGACAAATGCACTAGCCAAGTACTAGCACCATACCCGCGATATCACTACCACTACATTTCTTCTGTATAGAAATTTTGAAGCTTTCACTAGATCTAGGAGACTGCCAATCACCCTATTGAGTTTTGTTAAGAAAACATTAACAGTTGATAATAAAGAATATTTGAGGGATGTGCCAGCATAGGTGGAAATAAAGAATGTTAACATGTGTTCAGCATCTACTAGATAGAAAGTACATGTTTCATCTCATTGATTCATTTCAATTTGGGAGCAGAAAGGTCAACAAAGCTGTTCTCACCTCTGGAGCAATTTTAAGAATTTATCTTAGGACAAACAGGGAACTATTCAGAGACTTCAATTCAGTAAGCCATGTAGAAACCAGCTTTTCAGCAGACCAGGTCCTAGAAGTAGGAGATATATAACACCCAGACCATATCATAGAAAAACTCACATTTTTAGTGATACCAGAACACTCCGTACTACCCTCCATTTAAAGAGATTTCTGTTTCCTGCTATACTAAAAATTAAATGTTATTCTCTTTCTTTCATACAAATCTATTTTTTCCATCTTCACTTTTTCTTTATTTTTCTATCTTGCTGCCACTTCTCAAGGTGGGCCAAACTGGAAATCCTGCAAATGACAACAGAAACACATACACTTCTGGCTTACACTGCTCCCTTTCTTTATTTTTAGTGAAAGTTGATCCCACCTCTATGTCTCCATTGGAGATTTCAAGTGACGGTGAGGAGAGTACAATAGAGAGTGGATCCTCAGCTTTACAGAGTCTACAGGGACTGCAGCATGAGTGAGTACTTTTGTCTTTACTTCAGATCTCTCTCTCTCCCCCCGTCTCTCTCTCTCTTTCTCTCTCTCTCTCTCTTTGTGTGTGTGTGTGTGTGTGTGTGTGTGTGTGTGTGTGTGTGTGTGTGTCTGTCAAGGACAAGAGTAAGAATTTGAAGACAACAAAATATAGGTAGACTGCCTTCCCAGTGAAAGTACATGAGTTTGTGTGCAAATATGTGCATGTACATGCATATTATGGCAGAGTTATGTTCTGATTGTAGGTCACCAATTTTATCCTTGAAAAATCTTCAAATTTCCCATAAAGTACAGTTGTATACTGTTTCTCTCTGTAAGTGTAAAACAACTCTGTCTTCCAATGTTGGAAGTAATTGGAAATATTTGGCAACCACATTGTATGAAATATTTAGCAACCACATTGTATGAAAATACAATTTTTAAGCACAAGAGTGAGACTTATTGATGTGAAATGCTCACTCTGTTTGGAAACACAACCACTTAAAGAAACATTACTACCACCCATGCTTTCTCAGGGATGTGCACTTACTGAGCAGAATGGCCTAGCTGAGAGAATTGTTTGCATGATTACAATTATCTCTTCTCTTGAGTACCTAGCATTAAATTTAGGTAAATTAAAGGTAGGCATAAGATGACACCACTATATGTAAGCCCATTTCTTTAGCCTTTACTTTAAAGTCACCCTTTATCTTCATTTCTATTTCTTTGCTCAGACCAGCAGCAATGGCCCAAATGCAGGGAGAAGAGTCACTTGATTTGAAGAGAAGACGGATTCACCAATGTGACTTTGCAGGATGCAGCAAAGTGTACACCAAAAGCTCTCACCTGAAAGCCCACCGCAGAATCCATACAGGTTTGCCCATTTCCATCCAACTTCTAACACACACACACACACACACACACACACACACACACAGAGGGTGGGGGAAGAATTTCTGAGAGATAGAAAGAGAAGGAAGTCTTGAAACAAAGACAGATTCATTTATACTCATGGGCAAATGTTCCATTTATGCCATTCATGGCTTTTACCTCTATGTCTTGTTCCTACTCTAAGGCAACTTATGAGTATATAAAACTAGCTTAGGAAAACACTGAGCCTATTGTCTTCTGAATAGTCATCATTCCCAGTGAGTACCTTTGAGTCTTTCTAACTTTGAAGTCATAACCCTGAAGCAAAGATTAAGGCAGCTAAGACATTACTCTCTTCCTTACTACCAGGATCTCACAGATTTTTACTGAACATGGAAAAGCACAAAAGTCATTTTAAGTAAGTGAAATTAAGCAGACTTTTGGAACTTAGAACCATACACTAACCTATACTATACTGTTGTTTATATTAGAGAAAAGGTGCACATAAGTAAAACAAACCTGGTAGTAATTATGTCAAACTGGAGCACCCATGCCCCATCTGAAGAATGTGAAATGAGTCCTAGATTGTGAATATTGACATATAATTCAAAAAATTTTTATAATCCCAGGGATTAAAAAAAAGCTGTTCCTCAAATCCAGCTGAGTATAGTCACCCTTATATTCACAGATTCTATATCTGTGGATTCAACCCACCATAGATTAAAAATGTTAAAAAATGACTAATGATAAAGTATACAAATTAAAAATATAGCATAGCAACTATTTACATAGCATTTACATTATATTAAGTAATATAAGTACATCTAGAGATAATTTAAAGTATGGGGAGGATAGGCATAGATTTGATGCAAATATTATGCCATTTTTTATTAGGGACTTGAACATCCATGGATTTTGCTATCCACAGGGTGAGTGGGTGGGTGGGAGTGGGATGGGCATGCCCTAGAACCAATCCTCCATGGATACTGAGGGATGTCTACATTAGGAAATATCCAAATTGTTTTTTAACAAGCAGAAAATCAATATTTTTATATGAAATGGCCTAGATTTTGAATGTTGGCATCTAGTTCAAAACTATTTTTAACCCCTGGGATTCAAAGAAACTTGCCTAAAAGCCAGATGCAGCTTGTCAGTCATCAATTTGTGCTCTTTGCTTTGGAGATTCTTTTTCCCAGTGATCTCCAACTCAGAATTGGGACTTGGACAAGAGAAGAAGCCCTCCTTTCTTGTAAACATTTTCTGTGTTACATTTACTGTAGTAGGATTTGTGTAGAAGAATCCAGAGCCCTAGTTGTTGGGCCTTGAGGCTATGAACATGTGACTGATTTCCAGGCTGCATTGTCTCAACATTCTTATGACACTGTTATTATTTACTAATGTGATTGTTTGCTTCTCTTCCATGTGAGATGGGTGATGACTATTCAGATATAATCATATATATAACTGGTTATATGTTTTTAAGTACTTAAACTTGTATTTCCAACATGAAAAAACAGAATAGTTTACTGAACTCTGTTTACCCCTCATCCAACTTCAATACTTATACAAGTACATGGTCAATATTTTTTCTTCTATATCCACCCTGACTCTCCCCAGTCCCCATAATGTTATTTTGAAGCACATTCCAAACATCATATCATTTTAGCTACAAATACTTCAGAATATATTTTTAAGACAAAGATATTTAAAAATAAGCATACTACTACTGGCACATAAACATTTCTTAATATGGAATTTCCCCAAATGTCTAATAAAAATTTTTAAAGCTTATTCAAATTAGTATCTAAGTAAGGCTCATCCATTGAGTTTGGTTGATGTTTCTTTCAATTATATTTTTAATCTTTAATCATTCTTCCTCTTTCATATTTTCTTTCATTTTTTTTCTTTCATTTCATTTGTTGAAGAATTTGGATCATCTGTCCAATAGAATTTGCCATATTCTGGATTTTTGTGATTATATTTTCATTGTGTCATTTTAACATTCTTTATCTCCCATAGTTCCTGTAAACCAGAGGTCCCCAACCCCCGACCACAGACCAGTACTGGTCCGAGGCCTGTTTGGAACCCAGCCACAAGCAGGAGGTGACCAGTGGGCTAGCAGAGCTCGCTTCTGTCAGATCAGCAGTAGCATTAGATTTTATTTTATTTTTTTCTTTTTTGAGTTGGAGTCTCACTCTGTTGCCCAGGTTGGAGTGCAGTGGCATGCTCACAGTCACCACAGCCCTGACCTGATAGGCTCAGGCGATCCTTCTACGTCAGCCTTCCAAGTAGCTGGAACCACAGGCATGTTCCACCATGCCCGGCTAATTGTTTTGATTTATTGTAGAGACAAGGTCTTGCCAAGTTTCCCAGGCTGGTCTCTAACATCTGGGCTCAGGCACTCCTCTCATCTCCACCTCCTAAAGTGCTGGGATTACAGGCATGAGCTACCGTGCCCAGCAGCATTCGATTTTCATAGGAGCCTGAACCCTATTGTGAACTGTGCATGTGAGGGATCTAGATTGCACTCTCCTTATGAGAATCTATTACCTGATGATCTATCTCCCAAGGCCTGTGGAAAAAATGTCTTTCCCAAAACCTGTCCCTGATGCCAAAAAAGGTTAAGACCACTGCTGTACACTGATAGTTTTATCCAGGGGATTAATCAGATTTAAGTTCCACTTTTGGTAACAATATGTCATAAAAGATGTTGTGTGCCTTCTATGGCAAATGCTACTTGGTTGTCCCTGTGTAATGTTAAGATTGATCAGTGAATTTGGTTCTAGATTATTATAAAGACAGAAAGCAGGTCTGAAGGGAGTTGAATGAATTAACTCACATAATGAGAGGCAATTTGGTATAGTTTTAGCATACATATATTATAGGTTTTTCCAGGCGGTGTTGAGTAAAAATGTCATTAGTACAATCCATTCTCCTCTCCCATATACAGTTCACATCTGTTCGCATAACCCTGGTTTAAGTTTTAAAATTATGCTCCTTGAAGATATAGAGGGAAAAACAATGAGCAGGGATCTTAAAATACCTGAGTTCTAATTCCAACTCTCCAATTAAGCAGCTGTGCAATATGATATGCTTTTCTACCTCTATGATTCCAAGTTTCCTCAACCGTAAAATGAGGGATTTGGACTAGGTGATCCCATGTGATTGTTTTAGTCTGGATTCCTATGGCCTGAATTCAGTGTAACCTAGTGTATGTCCTTCTAGAAGGTCCCAAATGTAGGCAGGTTGGAAATTGCTTTACAGCAATACAGATCTGGCTGTCTTTCTTATGTCACCTATCTATCTTGAACTGAGATAACAACAGATGTTATTTACTTTTCAGGTTTCAATACTATTTTTCCCCTGGTGGTGTCAAGCATATAAAGGGAGAAAATTGGCCTAAAATATAGGCAGTTCTTAGCTTTGAGTTGTATGGTTGAATGCCATATCAGATAAGAGATCATGACAGGCTGGTGAATGGTGATAATTGATATCTACTTGAATCTCACTTTGTTTAGATTCAGGATTGTTCTTATTCTACTCAGTTCTTAGGATTGGCATGAAGTCTTTGCCATGGCATGTGATCATAAGAATAGTTACTTAAAAGCACTTCACAGAAGTATTTAGCTTGCCTTAACTGCTTGACTTGCAACAGGATTAGTCTGTTTAGGGAATAAGGTGGAAATTCTGTACGTACCCCCATTCCTGGACTATTGTGGTAGGCCCCTAACTGGTTTTCCTACCCTAATTCTTTCCTCAGTACAATTCATTTTTCACACAGCAGTCAGAGGATTTTTAATATGTTTGCTTTTGTTTTATTTTGTTTAAATGTAAACCAGATTATATAACTTCTGCTTAAAATGCTTCCATGGCTTCGTATTATACTCTGAATGAAATCCAAATTTCTTAAAATGGCCTAAAAGGCCCTATGGGACCTGGCCTCTGGTAAGTTTAATTCTGTGACACTTCTTATTCTTTAGGTCTCAATTTAAATGCCTTCTGCCCAGGAAAGTTTTCTCTAAGTCTATCTTAAGCAGGACCCCCTGCCAATTATCTATATAAGAATGCCCTATTTAATTCCTTGATAGGAAGAGTTTTATTTATTTTAATTGTATAAATTTAAGAGGTACAAGTAAAGTTTTGTTACATGAATTTATTGCATAGTGGTGAAGTCTAGGCTTTTACAGTAATTAAGGAAGGATTTTAAAGGAGGGGAAATAACATGCTCAATTTGAGGAGGAGCTAACTATGTGAAAATCTTGAGTGAAAGAACATTCTTGACTAGGCAGGATACAAAAGTTTTGAGACGGTAATAAGCTTGCCTTGTTCTGATAACTGACAAAAGTCCTGTATCATTAGGGCATATTGAGTGTAGAGATGTGTGAAGGAAGCCTTGTGGTGCAAGAGTGAAAGGGGGAAGACCATTTATAAAGCAAATTTTGTAATACAGGCCAAAAAAAAAAAAAAAATGATGACAGCCTAACTAGGATGTTGTCAGTGGAATTGGAGAGAAGGCAGTATAAAGATGATTGAAGGGACACTAATGACTTTCAGGTTTCTGTTTTGGGTGACTGAGTGGATAGAAATACCATTTACAAAGATAAGGAGTTTGCCAGCAATCACAGGGCTAGTAAGTGGGAAAAGCTCCATAGAATCAAATCGTGGTATGCAACCTAGGTGTACTTCTCTCTATTGCTTACATTCCACAAGTTCCTTGGGACTGAGGCAGCTGCAGAAATGCCTGATTTATTATCCTCCAAAGATTGTGGTTGATTGTTAGGGGTCCTAGAGAGTGATAATCCTTCTTTGGTATAAATTATTTCAGCAGAGAGCCATGAGACTCTTGCTTTATCTGCAAACACCTTCTGGCATGAAATACAGTCCTTCATCTCCCCTGAGCTTGCAGTCATACAAAACAGGAAATATAGGTACAACAGTTCCTATTAAGCATACTATAAGCATACTATCAACTTCAGTCTACATATAATGGCATTACTCATTTACCCAGGCCCAAAATTTATCATCGATTCTTAATATTCTCTTATACGTTCGTTTATTTGTTTCTAAAATTCTATTAATGCTTTCTTATTTTAAATAGCTTTTAAAAAAAAATCTGAGCCGGGCTCAGTGGCTCAGCCTGTAATCCCGCACCTTTGGGAGGCTGAGGTGAGT